GTTCTTTATATGTCAAGTTGTTCAAATTAATGTACAGCAAGTTTTTTTATAACGGATGCTCGTCGAAGAAGCGTGTTTAGAAGAAATATCTGAGGATCAGTGGTGTTTATGTACATATGGGCATCAAACGCTTCAAATTAACTTATTGTGACAGAGGAACTATTCACTGATGACATCGACCCGCCTTATGATCGCTGAGTCTCAACACATTCAGAATGGTTTCATTTTTCATTTGTATTTTGTTGTGATTAGTTATTCTGCATGGATCCGTGATTGCATTCCTTTGGCGTCTCCCTGTGGTCTTGTTTGGTATGGCAGGTTGACTTGTGCTTATTTGTTCAAATTACTGTATAATTGAGGTTTACGTACTTTTAAGTTGTAAAGAATATCTGCAGTGAAATTTTTGCAAAGTATGTATTGATTTGGCGAGGAGGGGGGCCTTGGAGTAAAAAAGGTTGAGAACCACTGGCTTGGACAAATATCACATGCTGAGAACTCTAACTTAGGCCTATATGTTAAATGAAACATAAATGTTTAAGAATCACTTAGGATACCTCTGGGCAATTCATGATCAGGTAGATCAACCTGATCTGAACGCCAGAAAACTACTAATTGGACAAAATGCTTCATTTGACTTTTTGGAGATCATCTGCTCTTCCCTGTGGATTACCTCTGACCTACTTTCTGTACGATCTGAATTTCTGCTTATTGAATTTGATGTTCCGAATTTCCTCTTCATCTTGAAAACTTGAAGCTGTATTTTTAGTTGTGTTAAATTTCAAATGTTCAATATTCAAGTTAAAAAAAATCAAATTCAGAACTATGTTAAATGCCACATAATACTCAGTTTTGATAAATGCCACTTGTCAATAATTCAAATTTATACAATACAAATTCAAATAGTTTTGTCATATTATAAGCTCCATAAATGTTGTTCTAACATCTGATGCAGAATGTTTTAGAAATGTATTTTAGATCAGTAATCACATAAACTAGAAAACTGAATTGTATTTTTGCATTCTGTTATATCTTGCTGATGAAAATACACAGAATAGGCATATGCACAACATGTGATTTTAGTAGAGAATAAGCATAACTGACATAATAATAACATTCAGATATTTTGCCTCCATTTCTTCATGCTTCATGGAACAAATCGAAGCCAACTACATGTAAAGTAATTCTTTTTGATTAAATCTTTCCAAATGATTTGTGATAGTAGTATGAACATATATTTTTTTAAATAATGTAGATAAGTTTAACAACATTTGCCTAAACAGTATATTCCTCACAAAATGTGACTGCAATTATTTTTTATGAGGGCAGCCAATTCAAGTTGCACTGAAGGGGAAAAAACTGTTTTAAAATGTATTAAGTTCATTAAATTGAATGGGGGGAAACACAACAAGAATGCAAAGAAACTACTGTACTCTGTCTGAAATTTTTCTAACTCTGTCTGAAATTTTTCTAACGCAAAGAAATTCTTATAGGAAGAAATTCCTAGATTAAGTGTGGCTTACCTCTCCAAGTACTTTGTGGAACCACTGTAAGTACACTTAAATCTTAATGAAGCCTCTCTCTCTCTCTCTCAACCATATCCTCTCCGTCCTGAGACTATCCATGAACTACAGAAAGACATTGTAGTTCAGGAAACATGAGCCACTCCTGGCGCCCCTATCTCACATTTCACAACAAAGCAACATGCTTTCAGTCGTGTTTTATAAGACCTCCTTGTCATTTTCACTTGTCAGACACAATTATAATGCAAGGCAAATTTTTACCAAATATAAATTTTTTTCACATCTGTATCTGTGTTCAAACTAACAACAACAAAAAGTTTCCTAGTATGTTCAAGGGTTTATTAAATACAACAATCTATCATCTGTTGCACACTAGGCCTTTATGAAGAGTAATTACAGTAAAATGAGAATGTAACAACCTCCGTCAGACCGGGCAATCTGTTCAGATGTCAAGTTTTTTAGTTTACACCCTCGTTCTAGTGTAACCTCGCACACAATAGCGGTCTGTTTACTGCTCTTGTCTCAAGAATGTTTCTCACGGGCCTGAGAGAAATCAACGTTCATATACTTGATCAAAAAACAATGCACTTACCTCTTGCTGTTGGTACCGGACGGAGTCCTGTCCCTCTGTCTGCGATTCTTGAACCAGTTGCTGACTTGAGTCAAAGAAAGTCCGGTGACTTTGGCTAAATTCTTCTTCTCGACCGGAGTGGGATACCTGTTGATCTTGTAACACTCCTTCAGAGCGTTGCGCGACTTCTCCTTGAAGCAGTACACCGTCTCCTCTCCGTCCCAAATGGTTTTGGGCAAAGGAAACTTTTTGCGCAGTCGATATTTGTCCACCGCGCCTAGACTGCGACCCCGGGACCTCTCAGCCTCCTTGTAGCGCGCCTTCAAGTAGAGGTCTTGCAGGAACCCATGGTTACTCGGGTGGAAGTCATGACTGTCCAGGATGGCGTACAACTCATTGAATTCCTCCCGGTGGAAAGCGACCAGAGCCTGGGCCTTCAGTAGGGTATCGTTGCCACGTAGCAGATCGGCCGAAGGAGGGATGGTGGAGAGGAATCTCCACAGGCGATCCACATTGCCCGCTTGCAGGAGCGCTTCGCAGAGACACGCGACTTGATCGGTGGAAAAAGTGAGCGCCGAGTTCTGGAAGCTTTGGAGCAGTTGTTCCGAAACCTCGTCCGGATCCGTCTCCTCTTTCACTTTGGCTTCATCTTGCCTGGACTCCTTTGGGCCGTTCTCAGTTTGTTCTGTGGACTCCAAAGACAAGGAAGCCATTTTTATTGTAACTTTTTTCCTTCAAGGTCCTCCTCCCTCCCTTTCTGTGTCTCTCTCCCATTCTCCCGTAGGCGAGTGAGCGCTGCTGCAAACTGCAAAGTGAGGCGTCACGCCCCTGCGTTTCGTCAACCTCCCCCATCTAGACATCCACCACAGGCCTGCTGCATTTCAACCTGGCTCCTTCATTACCATTGTGCAATCCTTTTTTCCAAACCACATTTGTTTCACATTGAGAAATAAACAATAAACAAGTTTTGGAAATTTACGTCTGCATACACTGCTTTCTAAGTTATATGCAGAATTTCACACAATGCTAAAAACTAATACTGAGAATCCTTTACACTTTAAAGGGGTCATATGATGTTGCTAAAAAGAACATTTTGTGTATTTGGTGTAATGAAATGTGTTTATGCGGTTTAAGGCTCAAAAAACACATTATTTTCCACATACTGTACATTATTGTTTCTCCTCTATGCCCCGCCTTTATGAAACGCGTCGAACTTTACAAAGCTCATCGGTCTGAAAAGCGAGGTGTGCTCTGATTGGCCAGCTATCCAGTGCGCCGTGTCCCGACCGGAGCGACGAGACAAAAACATTAAAACCCATTATAAACAAGGCATTTGTTGCATCCAGTGGGGACATAATTACGGATTATAATGATTTATACTGTCTTTTTACGCGTTGCATCGCGCAGCGTAAACATAAAACCATGTCTGCAATTTGTGAGACATGGCGCCGGGCCTGTGTCTCACAAATAGGAAATAGGAATAGATACTAACCTAACTATTTTAATAGTTCCTCATTACCAAAATATAAGTACTAGTACCAGATTAAAAGCTACTAGTAATTGGTACTGCAACATACATAATAGTAAACAGTGACAAGTTCATATATAAACCACTGATCCTCTCTCTATTTTTATGTTAGTTAATTGGACTTTATTGGACCCATTTTGTTGAAATACCTTCAAAGCTGATATAATTTAAAATACACATTAGCTAGAGTGTATATACAAATATATAAGACAGGATAAGAGCCTATAGCCTAAAAACCAAGGCACATTTAACTGTGTCTCCGCAGTGGCAAACAAAGTGAGTCTGAAAACTGCTACTCATTTGTAGATGTCTTGACTGCAAAACATGACTGGTTATGTTAAAAGGCAAGTGTGCACAGGCAGAAGATCAAAGGGTTAGGGGTTATGGGCTGAAAGGATGGAAAGTTGTAGGATGGGGGTGACAGACTACAGACTGATCTCCCACTTTCCTCAAAACAAAGTTTACATTCTTGCAAAGGGATGATATAGGGGTACAGAGCTCTGCTTCATCTCATTCTGTCCTTCTGCTTCCAGGTGTGCATGTCCACTTTCACATTTAAACTAGGGCTGCACGATAAATCGCATGCGATATTTAACAAGCATCTTGGTGTGTATTCAGGTTTAAGTCCCCGTATAGAAAAACATGCACACACACACACACACACACACACACACACAACATCTGTTGTCTCGGGAGAATTCTCCTACTGACACACTAAACCTAACCAATAATAGAATATCAAATATGGTTTATGTAAAAAAAAAAGATAGATAGCCTACAGTAGATAGATAGATAGATAGATAGATAGATAGTAGGCCGGGCCTGGTGAGACAGTAGTTTCTAACTAGTATCCCAAACTATCTTAACATTTGTCTTACCAATTACAAATACATTTTAATTGTCATATGTAAAACTAGTCAGAAAGACTATTTTATAGTTATATAACTTACTACACTGTTAAAGAAAAAAAACAACAATAAAACAATGATTATTAGAGTACGTTTTCAGTCTTCCTACTTCAAAATGTAACGTTTAATTCGATGTGTTACATGCCCTTTCTTTGTGAAATTTACTAGCAATTTCTGAATGAATTTACTGTCGCATGTTTTTATCTTTTTTGAGGCGTTTCTAATACTCTAGCAGCATCGTGTGGACATTCAGTACTGCAAACGTGTGTTTTTCGGGCAGTTTTTGGGGAGCGGTCTGCTTCAACAAAACAAACAGTGATTGGATAATAACGCTTTCACTGAGTAGCCCGATTCGACAGAGTACGTTTTCCCCACCCACTGAAAGACTAATAAAAGTTTCTTATTGGTTGAATTTAAGGTCCCGCCCAATGGCCAATTTTTATTGGCTCAAAGCTCAATATGGGTGGGCAGAATCTTCCAGAATCTAGTGGTGCGGTCTGTGACGGAAGATCTTTTCAGAAGAGCTAAAACAAGAAAATATAACGTTACGTTTTTTGGGGTTTGAATTCTGAATGCAGCCCTTATAATTATCGGATCGCGTGGAACTGATGAGATCTGAACGTGCAAACTTCTGACTGAAGCAGTGAATAAATTGAAGCGCTTGTCACGTGAGTGAATGTGAATACTGGCTAGTCATAGCAACCAGCAAGATAGCAAATATTACACCTTAAGTGGAAGCCATGGAAACTGTTCTGTCCGGACATTTGTATTTTGCTGCATGAATACCAAACACACCATCTGATTTTCAGCTCAACCACAGCAGCAGCATCACAGTTTGTTAGTTACGGAAGATGGACGGGAGTGTGACAGTCATCACCAACCCCACCGTGTCCGTGCGGGTGACCAGCACCGTCAGCTCCTTCGAGGTGAACCGGAGATTCAACCGAGGCATAACGATCGCAGAGTGTAAGGTGCGGCAGTGCAGCTCATGCCTCTTGTGTGATTTAGTATCGGAGGTTATTACCAATAGTCAGACATGAAATATGTGAGACATCACACTTCATGTGATATTGCCTATTGCAGAACTGAATATGTTGTTGGGAACTTTCTCAGTTTTGTGTAAATCTACATGGGGTTCTGATTTTATTTTGTTCCCACATTAATTGTACACTTGTCTATTACAAATATGTTGATTTGTTTAATAATTCCAGTGTATACTTTTTTCTTTATTTACCCCAAAATAATGTAAGTGAAATGTGACAATATGACCCATAGGTGAGGTACATTTGAAACATGAGGGGCACGTTATAACATGACCATATGATAGCATAAAGGGGTCATGAACTGTATTTTTTATTATTTTTATAATGTTCTCTGAGGTTCACCTATAATGTTAGTGTGAATTTACATTTAAAAAAACAACAACATAATTTTGAAGTAATAGGATATTTTCTGTCCTGTTTTTGAGCCTCTGCAGAACAGTGTTTTTATAGGCGGGGCGCATTCAAGACTCGCAAGTAAACGCCCACTGCTATGATTGGACAGTTTCGCTTATTAAAATAACAGATGAATGCTGCTGTGGAGAAGCGTCCGGCTGCAGCCTGCGGTGGACATCCAACCCGGCCCACATCCAAGTGTGACGTCAGACACCATGCCCATGTCCAAATACATCACGTTCTCATTAACTTAAATTGTGAATCATTAGGCTTGTTTGAGATGCGTCGGCGATGCGCAGACCGATCGGCGTATGACATCAAAGTATTTTGAAAGTAATTTAAAAAAGACAATGCAATAGTTGTAAAAACACCTTTACACACACTTATGTGTTGCGACGCGGATTGACACAACAAATCCCCGACAGTAAACTGACGTTCCGCTCTATTTCTGACATACTAGCATTCGCACCGCTTCTGACCTGAAAGCGAAATAAAGTGATTCGCGACATGGCACAACAGCGCTAACGTCCGATCTAGATATGTTAGGATCACAAGGAAGGCAATTAAAGACTATTTTTCACAACTTGCACTACACAGTCTTGTAATGTCATCTGTATGGTTCTGTTGATGGAGTAATCCTGTGCTTGCGTCTCTCTAGTATTTCCTCTCCTCCTACTACAAGTGCGTATCAGTGGGCGGGGCTAAAGTGGCAGTGATGTTGAAGCAGGCGTTGATCTTCTCCTGTGGAGGCGGTGCTTAGCCACACTATTATGTCATAAAGTGGCACGTTCCAAAACGAGTCTTTTTCTGAGCTTGGTTTCAATAAAAGCTGTTTTTAAACTAACAAGAAAATTTTGAGTTTTGAAACTGTGCAGCTTTGGAAAAAAAATGGCCTGTGATATTTGGGATATGTTATGCTATTTATAAAAATAAAAAAAAAAAAAAAGCGTATGGGATAGTGTCTTATTAAAAAATGACAAAACAGGCTTTTTTTCCCCAAGCTGTGGATGTAATATTGATCACATGCAGATGCGCGATGTGTTGTCCAATGTGGCAATATGCTATATGTAATTTTGAGCCCTTAAAGGGTCATGGTGATGTAAAATATGTTTTTTGAGGAAAAATTCTTTCAATGATTTTGTGTTCACTCACAAAAAATGTGCATTCCCATAAGAAACTTTGCCTTCTCTCACAAAAGTATTGCATTCTCTCGCAAAACTATTATGTTTCTCTGAAATATGTTCGCTTGCGAAAGGTATGAAATAGAGTTTCCTTCCACTTCATATTATTTCCAGTGCAAATATTTTGCGATTGAAGGCAAGGTTTCTTCAGGGACGCATTTTTTACGAATCATTTAGGGGTAAATTATGTACAAAGTTGACCCCAAAGTTACTACCCCAATGACAAGCTCTTGTACCCTAAAGGCACAATTTTTGCAATTTATTTTTTGTATATTACATCACAGGGCATCAAACTGTGAGGGTCTATTTGGAATCATATTGATGTTTTAGTTTATTTTCTAATTTAACATGTTTTTGTTTGTTTTTCAGAGTAAATTGGAGCTGATTGTGGGCACCCCAGCTGCCTATATGGACCTTGAGCTATTCAGCACTTCAGACAAGTTCTTACAGAAGCTAGACAACAATCAAGCGCTGCTCGGCTTCTATCCTGTGGATGATGAATGCAGAATACATGTGGGTATTGACTCCTTTCTGAGACTCCTTCAACACAGAAAGCAAGTGATATGACAAAATTAGAACGTGTCGAAGGGATATGAGATGATGATTCTGTATATTTTGACTAGGGGTCGACCGATATGTGTTTTTCAAGGCCGATACCGATTATTACAGATCAAGTAGACCGATATCCGATATTTTGAACCGATATATATGTCTGGTGTAAAAATGAAAATTAATGTCAAAATTAAGAATAACAAGGGCTCTGACAAAAACTGCCTTCCCTGGTGTTGGTTGAGTGTAGTACTCCCACAGTAAACTCTTTATTTTAAAGAGTTAAACTCTTTATTTTTTGGCAAACAAAGGGTTTACCATTAAAATTAAAACATGGAAGAAATAGCGTATTGTGTGATTATTCTTTTAAACAAAAGTTGTAATAATTGTTGTAGTAGTCAGGGGTTAAAGCAAAAAAAAGAAATATTTTGACTGAAAATTTTTCCTCGGCCAAACCACATTCCTCAGCCATACCTGTCACACACCCAGTTTAAGAGCAGTGTTTTTCTTCTTGTAATCAAGAGCGCTTCCTCCTTAATTTAAAACAAATTAAGGAGCACCTTCTGATCAATAATCAAAAATTATGATCAAAAATTAGCCTTCCTAATATGAGGTGAAGTGATTTACAGGGGCATTTTCTTTTTACCTTTGCAATGGCATCATTTTCATCTGTAAAATTCAAAAATTTATGTTTATAAGCTTTTTAAAATTTATATTTAAAACAATATAATAAGAAGTAGAATAAGACAAATAAGTTACCAATCATGAAATTAGTATTAATAAAAAATTAATTTGTACTACAGGGGTGGCACAAAAAGAACACAAAAGTGGCTTGTAGGTACATTTTCAGACATTCAATGAGGCTCAGAGGTGGCATGAGTGCAATTAAATTCATAAATTCATGTGGAGATTAATGTTTTAAATACAATTTTGAATACAGAAATATTAAATTTAAATAACTGCAATTATACCTAAAAATGAAACTGAAACCGCCAGCAGGTGCGGCAAATCACGGATTTTATCACTGAATCATTCATTCAATTGATTCGTTTGAACGGCTCATTCATTCAGGAATGAAGCAAGTGACTGTCTTTATGAATGGGTAATCATGAATCACTGACTCACTAGATTCGTTCAAAAACGCACTTTCATTGAATGAATGAAACACCGCTGTGTTTGCTTTTAGAGATGTGAAGCGGCTGAGCTGTTACTTTATTTGGAACTATTTTCGTTGATGAAATAGAGCAAAATCAGGCAGTACGTGTTTATTGAACTGTTGTATTAAATCAATATCACATTTGCAAACTCCTTGAATAATTATTAAAATCTGTCACTCTCCTTATCGCGATCTGTGGGCGCACAGAAAATGAGAGTTCTCAAGACTCAAAAGCACCTGCAAATGATAAAATCCGTCATCTGTCATCGCGTTATAAACGAGGAACCTGCGGGTATGAGTAGAATTATTATTAATAGCCGCAATCCTGCGCCTGAAATTCAAGACCTGCTCTGTGTTCTCTGCTAATAACCCGAATGTGCATGATGCGAGCGGCGTTATGTTGTCAGTGAGAAGCTGCAGCCGTGGCGGGGAGGATTTTTGGGAGAGGGAGTAAAATCTTTGCGTGGCAGGGGCAGCTGCCACTCGTCCTGCCACCGCTATGTGCGCCTGCCAGTGGCAGCTGCCACCGGACCTGCCACCGCTATCTGCGCCTGCCACCGGACCTGCCACCACTATAGCAAACAGGTGGCGCGACACTTAGGTGCTGCATGCTCCATGGATTTAAAGGGAGGAATAAGCTGGCAAATAGGTAAATAAATGTAGAAATGCACTGTTTGTTTGTTTGTATGCATCAATCAGAGAGTAAACTGTAGCAGGCGCGACGCTTCGGTCCTGCGCGCGCCGTTATGGATGTAAAGGTTATGTAAGGCTGTAAAATGACATACGTAACGTGCAGACTTGTATTTCTAAAAAAAAAAAAAAGGCCCCAAAAAAAAACTACTTTTAAAATTAGTCAAGTTGCATCGGGTTTTGGGGGCCTGTCCTCGACCTGGGACATTTATTGCTTTGAAACCAGCCACCTCATCCACAAACAAATACAACACCAACGACCCCCAGCGTTCACACGTAAGAAATGCAACATATCAGTTTTTGATTGGTTGAACTACGTAAACTGTGTTCAACCGAGCAATCCGATTGGTTGTTAGCGAACCTGGATTTGAGGACGATGGGCCTGAAGGATCATTAACGTACCTGGACATCTTTTTTTGCGTAAGTACACAGTATTTTTGGATGAAGCTACATGTTCTGCATGGAAAGGAGCTAAAAATAATTTATATAATCGCTATATTTACTTTTACTTTTTTAAGGTGTTGACGATTATTGGAGAATTTACAACATGGAAGGTAAGCAAAACAATTCAGCATTTTCTTAACATTAAAAACATTTCTTACTTCATTAAGAGTAACGTTAGTGATATGACGAACTGTTTATGTCTGCTCTCGGTCCACTGATCATGAGATCATCGAGGTCCGGACCTCGGTAAAGTTTTCGTGTTATGAATGTCTGCATGACATGTATAATTTAGTTTAGACAGTTTGCAAGAATGTTTAGCGTCCGTGGTATGAAAACGATCGCTGCGAGACGCTGCCGGAATGATCGAGTTGTGAGGGCGCGGGAGCAGC